ACGTTTCCCGAAGTATCTTCTTCAAACACAGTTAATAAAATCAGACAATTCAAAGACAAAGACAGATAGGAAGAAATGAAACATTCACTATAAAAGCAAACGTTACCTTTAGCCGGGTTTACTTTTATCCCTGACCTATACAGCATCTCCTCGTTCTGCCAGTCCCCATTCCTGACAACAGTCTTGAGTCCATAGAAAACAATTAATGCGGCAGTGGAACAAAAAACCAAGTTCTTCAGAAAGCGCTTTTGGGCTTTGACATAAAGGGCCCTGACACCTACTGTAACCAGCAGGCAGAAGCCCATACTAGGAACATACAGCACACGCTCTGCTATTACAAAGCCAACATAGAAAAATAGGTTGGTGGCAGGAACAAAGGGCACTATTAACAAAGACAGAGACAGAACGACAATGTTCTCAGTGGAAGGCAGCGGCAGTTTCTGCACTCCATGCTTTTTTATGCCATTCTCTTCTTTTGACGCAAAGCTGGACTTCACCTCCAACGTCTTAAACTCCATCTCCGAGTGGCAGCTATGCCCATTAGCATTCTGCTTGCCGTTCATCACTGTTTTCCCATTGCACTCTCTCTCATTGCTGGAGCGCTTCAAGCTAGAGTAGGCAAGGAGGAGGAGTCCAGCGTAGAAGGCCACAGTGTGTAGGTTCCTCCAGTCGCTGACTGCTTTAAGAAGAGGCACAGCATCCATAGACCAGTCAAAGCTGAGGGTGTCCGGGCAGAGCAATAGCCAAAGGTTCTTGGTCGGCAGGTAAAAGAAGGTCAGAGTACGCGTGAGAAAACTGTCCGAGTCAGCCGCTGGATTGTCAGAGTTGGAAAAGCTCGGTGGTTTGTTGCCCATCCAGTATAAGCGGACACCCAGCAGTGCAGTCCCCCAGGAGGTCAACAAAGCAATGCTGAAGAAGAGGGACAAATTCTTCCTCTGAAAGGAAACAAACAAACAAAAAAAGAATCATCAGTATTAATTAACATGAGGTGTTTAACACTTCAAAATCATAAACCAAGGGAATCAATATATATGCTTTTTTTTTTTTTTTTGGTAATGACTACAAGCATTGTGGATATCCATCTCTGACATCTGTATCACAAAATGCTAGGGTGTAGTGTTGACTTTAACGTAAAAGAACAGGCTCTTTCATTTAGGCTGCATCATACAGAATCAAGCCTTTAGAGATCATAGGGCTGTCTGTCCAAGAAAGCGCTGGTTCCATTTTCCCTACTGAAAGCCTAACCTGAGCTATTTCCTCTGAGAACCTAATAAACTTTTCAACAAGGCAAGAGAGGAAAACAGGCACAAGTTCCACATTTAGGTCCTCAGGCTCCTACCACTGGATTACAATGATCATTTGGAGCCTTCAGATCTGCCTGTTATTACTGAAGGCCCCATTAGATTTTGCATCTCACAGCCAAAGGATATGCTGTTTTTGTTTTTCTTGAAGCACACCATATTAAAATTAGTGCTCTAAAATCCTTCCATATCTTCACACCCATCTAAATGATATTAGCTGAAGCATTCAGCTATCTCTACCTACCCATATCATCATGCTAGCAACTCTAAGAACCTCCACTTATTTATGGAATAACTCAAAATCTGCCACCTGGAATTCTTTGTTGCTCCCCTCTACCCCCACCTTCAGAAAGTGCTCATTTTTCTGAAGATTTGCAGAAACATTCCAGTTCTGCTTAAATGAGAATAAGGAAGTAAGACTTTCTCAGTGATTTCTAGGACTGATGAGCTCAAATCCTGCTCTGAATCATGTGGGCTCCCAAAATACAAGCTGTTCGGGATTACTGTCTCTTTGTCAAAGTATTTATAAAAGCTAAAAGATGTGTACTTTCATATTTCAATTTCTCAGATGTCTTTTGTAAGAAAAGAAAAACTGTTTGCCAGATAGCTCCAGACAGACTGTAAGCATTTTGATAATCTTCTCCCCCATTATTATGAAGAATTACTTGTCAATCATTTTTCATTTTGTTAAGTCTGTTTTTTCCATTTCCCACTACACATTCTTGGGCCGGTTCTTCACTGCCTGTTTCCTCTCAGCATTCAGAACCAGGACTTCACACCGAAATGGTTTATCTTATTGCTTTCAAACAGCTCATTTCTTCTCCTTTGTAGGGGGAACCATCCCCTCGGTATCATGAAATACAGCCAATTGTGCTGCTCCGTTTTAGGTCAACTGTTAATAGTTTTCTTTCAGTAGGTTACTGATGTTCCAGTAACAAGATGTGGTCTAGTCATCATGATTTATCTGCTCATCTCATTGAGAAATTTATTCCTTTTCCTGATTTGGTAGAGTTTCTCCTTGTGAATTCTAAAATATTTAATGGCAGTTAGATTAATTCATTCAATTTTGTGGAGATATGGAAGAATAAAATGGAGGCATCTGCCTGCAGAGAACAAACAAATTTATGATGAAAGTGATTTATGTATTTATATTAGTTCCACTTAAAAATGCTAGCGTTTTTCATATATGAAGCAAAGTCTGAGTTCGCATATTTCATTTGCGATATTGATTACATTGTTTGATTCATTTGTTTTTGTATAGTTCCATATCCTGGAAAATCAACTATTTTTTGGTAATAAACCAACCGAAATCCAGATCTACACTCTATGATGATTTTATGCCTGGGCAAGCCTACTGTAACAACATACTTGTATTTGCAGGTAGCACAATACTTTGTGACTCACCTCAGATACTGTTTTCCCCGGCTGATGGGATTGTTTAAATGTTAAAACTGGTTATCACTGAAACTCCAACCTAAGTTTATGTTCGAAATACAAAGACTTTCCAAATTTCATGGCTTGTATGTATGCCCTCATTGTAACAACTTATGTTCTGCTTTAACTTTTCTTTTTTTTTTTTTAATATATCCTTCTATATTTTCTGAAGAGGAATAAAGGAGGTTACCTAGAAAGACAGAGGCTCAGAAATGGAAGGCTTTTTTTTTTTTTTTTTGGAAAGAATGCTTAGAAATTGAGATAAGGTCTTTCCTGAAGGACTATAAGGACTATATCACTAGTAAGATTAAGACATCTCAAATACTAAGAAAGTGAAACTTGATTAACAGAGATGAGAAACGTGCTTTCATGGATTGCTTAGGCTGCTTTGTTGCCTTGTTATTTTGTTAATACTTACCTAACTTAACAAGGGGAAGAAAATCTCCCTTTGTCAGAGATCTAATAATTGCCCTTTTCAATTAAATGCTGAGAAAGTTCATGTTACAAAGCTCTTCAACAAAACCAGGCTAGAGCAGATCTGCCATTCCTCATGCATAATAGGGAAACCTGCTAAAACCAATTCAGATCCGATTCATACATCCTAACGCAGTAACAAAAAGCTTGCCCAGTCTCCCTAGCTCTAGAAGACAGTCTCCACCGCAAAGCTAATCCATCCTCATTGCTCAACTAACTATCTGCAGCCTCTCCTTTTAAGCCTCAATTTAAGATCTGTAAGGTCTGGATCCCTCAGTCTTTTTTGGTTCTATAAAGAACACAGTATTTCTATAAGCATATCATGTTTCATGCTTTTAGAATACGTTTCTTTTCTTTACATTTTACACCAGAATAAAATCAAGTATCTATGCATTCACTTGTAGAGCTCAGAGGTATCTGACTTTAGGTGATTTTCCACACCAGCATATCCATATCTCATGCTGTACAACGTTAGTTAACTAGAGAGCACGCTTTGGTAGATTCTTTAGCTTAATCACAGGAGAGGGGGGCAAATACCCTCTCACTGGCTCAGATGCAAATGCTTTGCATCCTTCCCTAGAAACTCTTTCAGACATGGCTCTTCTCAAAAGCTAGTATTCTGACATCTTTTTAAAATTAACTACATGTAACTGCAGCTACTAATAACCTGCGTAACCCAGAGGTCTCATTGTAGTTTCACAGATTTCAGAGGCACTCTCTCTGGATTTAGTCTAAAACTGAGACTGAAATCCTCCCTAACGCTTAAACTTCTGTCACAAAAATTTAAAGTAGGACACCATATATTTGTTTAATGACAAACAGATAATGCTGGCTTAGAAGGAGAATGACCAACTCCTTTTTTCTCGCTCAACACTTCACCACATGATTTTGTATGGCTTTTACCACACTGTACTCAGCGATAATAAAGGTTTAACTAACATTTTGGTTTTAATCTTCTTCCAGACCTTGTACAGAGAACAATAATAATAATTTAAAAAAAACTGTTGCAGCAATTTTTTACAAGTAAACAATAATCGATTTCCCAATGGACTTCTGCCCTCAAAAAAGGTGCTTTCAGAATTGTCTGCCAGATAAGCACTTTCACTAGCAGCTCTTCCTTGAGCCTCATGACAGCCCATGCTCCTTCTGACTGTATACACTTAGTGTAGCCCAGCAGCAGGAAGCGATCCGCTGTAATGCTTGGCAGCAAGGATTTGGATTACTGTCCTCATGAGTCCTAATCCAGCCCATCTGCCATATGTTTTGACACCCTCATAAATCCTCTAACCTTTCATAAGCAGTCATTTTCATCTGAAGAGAAAAAAAAAAACAAAAAACCAAAAAGCACTGATTTAGATCAGGTTTAACATCTCTCCTGCTCTGCTAACAGTCAAGAACCACCACTGCAGTTTTAGTGCTTGTGACTGCAGAAACCCCTTTCATCCCCCTACCAAAATCCATCTGCATGACCCACCCACATTGTACATTTCCCTTGCATTAAATCCTAATTCCTCACTCCATTATACAGCTCTCGAACGAAGCATTGCAGCAGGCTTCTTGATTGGGCAGCCCCTGCCAAAGCTCAGTCATCACCTAACCTGTATCCAGAGTATTTCCAAAAGACAATATTCTTTTAATCTCACCCTGTCCATTTCACAAAGAAGCATTAAGTAAGGCACATCCAAATATCAAAATCACAGGGGCTAGCCACACACAAAACGCTATTTTTAGAACACTGGAAATGCAAAAAAGAAAGTGGGTAAATCACTAAGTGCTACCCACAAGAGAGTTTCTTTTCCAACCGATAGCTCCTTGAAAATACGTTGGCTTGAGAACTGCGGCTCCCCAAAGTAGCGAGATGCTGCCGAATCACTAGACTGACAGTATCTTGTTTCCGCGACAGGCAGAGGTTCCTGGATCACAGCTCAGCTGAGTTCGAGCCGAACAAGAGCTCAAACAGGATCCACACCAGGGATGAAGGTATTTGCTTCCCTAACTGCGACCAGTGCCGAGTCTCAGAGCTGACCGTGGCCTTTCCCGCTCCCAGCTCTTGCCTCCTCCCCTCTCCCTCATCCCTCTTGATCTGCTTGCGTGGCCCGTGACATGAGGTTAGCCCATCTACACCGCAGATACAGCAAAGCGGCCTCAGGGGCTAGGTCTTCCTCTGACTTGGCACTCTGCCTACAGCTTCTGCCATACTGTGACCAAACATATGTATTCAACGCCACTCACTTCCAGAGTTATTAACCTACGCAATTCTTCCTCAGCAAGGAAGTTAGTGTATTTATAAAACAAGTGAAGATTACACTGACATATTCTTTATTGTAGTCAGATAGTAGCAGAATTTAAGCAGTCCTTATTACTTTTGATTTGCTTTACTACAAGTGAGTTATAAACATTGGCATTTAAAATTGCCCGTCTTCCTCTGGTGCAAATCTTTCAACTAAAAGCACTCCAGCCTCTCCAGAGAAAGAACAGATGGAAGGACTACTGGGGAAAAGATAAGTAGCATTAAGAAGCCCAACTATCTGAATGACTGGAGATTGTGCCAGAGTGGAAGAGATGACACTAGCTTGATCAGTCTGTGAACATGACCAGTGCAGAAGAGAGCAGCTCTCAGAGGGTAAAGCCTACACAGCCAAACGCAGCATGCATGACAATTATGAAGCTAAATACATCTACCCAGAGTTAATCCAGCCATCTGTGGCAGCAAGAATGCAGGAGGT